ATATAGTGAATCTCATTGTCTGGCACCGCAAGCAGGTAGAGTAGGCACTTTTCTTTAGCAGTGCTCACACAGTAGCTGTTCAAGCATCGCTTGCTGCCTCCAAAATTCTGGGATTTGTCCTGTTAAAGCACACTGATGTAGTCGGTGAGGCGGCTGTGGCTAAATCTACTTTGTCTTGTGCCGCTTGTGTTGCTTTCTCTCCTCTTATTTTTAGCTCTTGGTAGTTGGAAACAACACACTCGGGCTGAATGCTTTATCTGGGCAGGAACAACATAAGCTAGCAGTTGTTTTGTATGCTTTTGTGTAGGTGTGTAATTGCTTGTTCAGATTAAAGTGTTCTACATACTTACTTATACTGTATACATAAATACTAAACTAAATCTGCAATAGCCAGCTCTGTGCTCTTTGATTAATTCACTTTGCTGTTATCAACAGAGACTTTGTAGGATAATTAAGGCCGGGAAGTCAGCTCGTTTACTCGTCCTTTGAAGGAAAAGCTAGACAGCTGCCACCAGGCTCAAATGCACACTCACGAACGTGAGGAAAAATGCTGCTGCCATACACTAGAGTGTCATAAGGCCGGGATAGCTTGCACTGCTTGCACTTCCTTCTTTAGTTTTGTTAAAATTAACATTACAAACCACGGTGTAACCGTAAATCTTACACAGAAGAAAAGCACGGTTACACCCAATATTACTGTCAGGCGTGGTCAGAAATATGGCCTGCTGCTCTACAACCACACTCAGCAGTGATATTCAGCACACTGTACCACAATGAATCACTTTTGGGGTGTGAAATCAAATTCAGGTTTAAGTTCATGGCAGCGAAAGCTGGATAGTCATGCTGTGTTTCATCACTTTGTAATTTGGAAAGCACTCCTTTTGCCAAGGGGACTGAAAGGAAAAAAAAAGAAACAGGCTACAGTGGATAATGTAACAAAGAAAAGAAGCAGTTTTCTCTGTCTTAATGCAGTGGAGTTGCTACATACTGTACAGAGCCTCCTTTTGCGCTCATGCGTTTCACCAATTGGCAATCATGCACTTGTGGATATCCAGTGAGCCTGGCTAGCTTTCTTGGCACTTCAACAAAATTCTTTTACTTTGCTTTCCCGGTGCCTCCTGCTCTAACTGGTGGCATATCCTTAGCAGCCGGTGAAAAGTTAATAACAGGATGTAAAATTAATCTCAGTCTCAGTTGTCTCACAACGGTATCTCAGCAGGCTTTTACTTAACATGCAAGCCTTTTCTCTACTTGCCATTATTAGAAATACCAGCCTTTACTCGGATGTTTTAATGCAAAACTCTAAAATGCAAGCATGCACAGACTAAAGCGTTTTTTCTGTGCATGCAAGAATGCCAAGCTTTTTGATTAAACATGCTATGTTCACGTCTTGCTTACTTCCAGTTAAAGTCAGGATGCTTTTTAAATCACGGATGGATTATTTTATTAACAAGTAACAATTATACCTATAAGTAACAAAAATACACTTTTTAGAATTAGAAATTCTTCCCTTAAATGCATCCCACTGCAAGGATTTACACACTACGGGGCAGGTTCAGGGCTGGTTTTGGGCAACAAAGATAAGAGATGAGAGGAGATGACTAGCAGCCAGCAGGTTGCTGCTTTGAGCATCTCTCCGAAACGACTGTTTCTGCACATGATTTCTGACAGAAATAGGCATATTTCCAGCTTTACCTTACAAGCCCCACTTTAATTGAGGTTCTTACAATAGTTGCAATAAAAGGAAGATGAAAATAATCAGTGAGTAAAGTTGCAGTGCCTGCGGTAAATGTAGCTCAACCTGTAAATAAAAGGATGAAATCAAAAAGCTGTTTAAAATCGTTGAATTTATTGCAGTCTGTTCAAATGAAGTTGATTGGTATAAGCTTGAATGGATACCAATCACATTATACTTAATTATTAATTATGCAAATAAAGACACCTTTAATTGTATATATTTCACATGTATTTTACTCAGATGTGCAGTTTTCTAAAAAAAAAAAAAAAAAGTAAAAAAGAAAGAAAAAGAAAGTAAGAAAGATGCATTTTACTCAAAATTACTGCTTCATGTTTATTGAGGGTGAAATTAGAGGGTGGCTCAAAACCAGACACCAGCTCTGGTATTGGTTTTGGATCAATACCAGTGCGATCAGATCGATACTTTGTTTCTACAATGCAGCCCACTGAACTCTATTAAGTACATGTTGTTTTTTTGGAAATCACGCATTATGAAAACTGTCTGAACCGTTTTGTGTTGATTGTCAAGTCTGTTTTATTTATAGCTGATACACATTCCAGGACTCCAAATAACCCAGTTTCAAAATACATGAAAAGCCAAAAGATGTTACGTTTTGTTGCATTAACAAGATACTGTGGAAAGTACAAATCACACTGATTTAGTGGTCATTAAAGTGTTTTTAGAGGTTGCAAATAGAGGATAATTTATCACATAAATGACACATTTCTCTACTCTACATGAGCTGCCTTTGTAGGTTAAAACCCGTGGTATCGGTATTAGTATTGGTAATTTTGGCCCTGTAATTAGTTGGGATTGGTATCTGTATTGGTAATATTGGCCCCCATGTTTACTTGGTATTGGTATCGGTAATTTTGGCCTTGTAATTACTTGGTATTGGTATCTGTATTAGTATCGGTAATATTGGCCCCCGCGTTTACTTGGTATTGGTATTAGTATCGGTAATTTTGGCCTTGTAATTACTTGGTATTGGTATCTGTATTAGTATCGGTAATATTGGCCCCCGTGTTTACTTGGTATCGGTATTAGTATCGGTAATTTTGGCCCTGTATTTACTTTGTATCAGATCGATACCAAATCTGTAGTATCTCACAGCACTACTGTAAATGTACACTTTCTTATGTTTTGCTAGGCTGCTAATTGAGTGCAATCCTTTAAAAACTCATCTTTAAAGGAGCAGCTAATATATGGATAAGGTGGCATGATTGTTTGCAGTTAAAAAATGTATATGATTATGCAACACTGGTAAAGTAGACATTGGTAGTGTCTGTCTCCAACAAGAAAATTAGGTGATTTTCCAGATAATGCGTCGGTCATTCAGCCTTATGGATGTATATTTCTCTGTCCAGAACTCACTGATGATGTGTTGGAAGCCTCACCTCCCAACTACTGCCAGTACTTTAACACTAATGATTGGACGAGAGCAGTAAATTTGGCTCTGATAGTGTTTCTGCTGAGTGCGAAAGACCAAGGAGAGCAGCAAGGAGTTTATAAGAGGTAAATGTGTAAAATTAAAGCTCTGTCCAGTTGCTGTAATTACTGTTAATTAGGTTTGATCAGAAAAAGAAGTGAAATCAAGCGAAAGCACACGATGAAAGCCTACCATACCGCCCAGAACATAATTTTTGCTTTCTGTTCTCGGTGCAATTGATTTCTCCTTTTTGTGCAGCAGTGTGTGGTTAGGATTGTTGCAATATGGTGCGACCGTGCTCCTTTCCAAACACTTGCAGGCCTGCTAAATGACTGGCAGATGCTCTGTTGACCAAACTAGTTTCAGCAGTTCAGCTAAATTGACCTATCGCATCTGTTTTCTCTGCCAAAGTCTCAAATTTGATCAAACATAATGAACAGCAGATTTGATGAAGCACGTCCCCGGCACTTGTTCGAAAGCCAAGACCGGTTGGCCATTGTGCCTAGATAATATTTAGAAATTTGGCAATATAATTGAGAGCCATTCTTTTTCTTTTCATTTGCAAGCATCTTTGCACAATCTGACAGAAGTAAAGGAATCATTTCACTAAGTACCTTTTTTTTTTATCATTGGCACACATGCACAAATTATAGACTCTCGTTTTCCCAGTGTCTCTGTCATTTTAAATCACAGCCAGTGCTTTTAAAAGAGACGTGGACATGAGGCGGACAACCCAAATAGGTGAGAGGAAAGAAAAAAAGGTTGTTTTAATTAAGTCAAAAGGAAAATCTACCTAATTTGCATAGTAAACACAGTGCTACCGATTAATCCTTTTTCTTTTTTTTGTTTTTAGCTTATTATTCAAGACCATCCAGTGTCATAGACACCTCAATTACAAAAGCTTTGGTGCTCATCAGTTTTATGATTGCATGTGAGATTTAATTATAAATCATGTAATGATTGTTTTGCGTCACAATAACAAAGAGAACAGCTCGTCGTGTGTTTCATCAGGGATGCCGAAGAATTGCTCTTTCCCAGAACCGCTGAATGCCATTTGATTTTACCTCTGTGTGCATGCTCTTCATTAATACGTCTATAATTAAACCTAACCACTTCACCCCTCGCACACGGATATGGTGCCAGCACAGATATAAATTGAATGCGTTCAGTTGAAATATATATAGTGAACAGGGCAACGCTAAGGATGGGAGACGAGAAATCTCTGAAAGAAAGCACTCCAAAGATGGATTGATACGATGGCTAAAGAGGCAGGGAGGGATAACGAGGGGAAAACTGGAAAGTGTGAAAGGTGACTGGGGGAGGTTGCCATCAAAATGCTAATGTTGTGTGGGATATTTACTGCAGAGTGTTAATGTAGTTTAAAACAGGCTCTTTGTCCTGCAGCCCATCACCAAGCTCCTGTTGGGCCCTAATAAATCAGCCATTAAAAGCTGATGTGACCTGAATAGCACTTCATACAGCGGCAATCGGGCCGTAGCACCAGTATGGGAACCAGAAAGCAGCTGAAAAATTTATGAAGATGCCACTTAATAACGGTCGACCCAGAAGCGAGCAAAATAAAAAGTGTCTGTGTGATGTGGCTTGGAGAAAGTAACGCTTGGACTCCTTTTTTTTTTTTTTAATTTTTTGGTTTTTTTTAAGTAAATCTGTGTCATACAGTAGACGTGCAGATGCCTCTTCATGTTGGCAGACGTTAAAGGTTCCTGCCTTTTAATTGCGTCCCCTGTCGCCCGTTTGGAGAGAATACAGCGAGAGTCGGTGTGTTGCTCTAACATAAGTATGCCCTGCTCTAACTTTTGTGTTCTCTTCCAGGACAGGAAGTGCTTTCCCTATCTGGAATGTGATATACGGGATTTGTTCAGCAGCAGCACTCAAGGACCGCTCTCCTCTCTCGAACTGAGGTATTGTACACTTTTTATCAGCATTTCTGACAGCATCAGACTGTAAATGTACGGCGGCCCTGAGAGTTTAGACGCACTGCAGCTTAAGAAAACACCAGCAAATCGAAAAAAAAAAATGCTGCAAAAGCACACAAAAAGTCACAAATTCAATTCAACAACAGTTACCTCAAGGGACTCTATAATACTGTCAGGTAAAGACCCTACAATAACTCAGACTTGGCGACAGTGGCAAGGAAAAACTCCCTTCTAACAGGAAGAAGCCTAGGGACAGGAGGGGCAGTCATCAGCCGTGATTGGCTAAAGGCGAGGGGAGGAAGTTGGGATGAACGACACACTGTGGAAGAGACAAGCTAACAGTAAATGGCTAATAGCAAACACGTAGCTACAGCATTATATGAATGATATCTCTGCGTTATCATCAAAATAATGTTGGTCAACATCACAACGGACCAATCACAAACACTCAGTTAGCATTGGCGAAGAAGTTAGCTAATGCTATTAAAAGCTACCATAAGCAAACCGAAACGAGTAACCTAAATTTGGCGGACAGCAAAGCTAACTTGATAATATATTTATTAAAACACACGTTACCATGGCATCTTCTTATCGTTTACACCGGTGAATCCTACTTCTTTTAAGGGTGTCTCAGTGCAATTCTTCCCATGTTTTGGTTGCTATCATTTTTGCAGCTGGTCCGTCACACTATCGTCTCCCCAAAAACACTTTTATTTTGTGAGATTTTTTTTTCCTACTTCTGTTGTCTTTAGCGTTCTTCTAGTTGCTGGTGTTTTCTTCAGTTGCGGTGCGTTTGAACTCTCAGGCCCAGCAAATGGGCCTGAAAACGACTCCGTGCAAGTCATGAATATGCAGCGCAACCCAGATTAAGTCTGCAACCCATACACCACCAACCCCACCCAGCACAGCACAGTAATGAAGAGCATTCATGTGGGCCAATTGGGCTGGTACTCTGCGCGCAATAGGATGTTTATGAAAATGATTCACGATAGGTGCTCATCTTCATATGCAAATCTGTGGGACACCACTGTTAGGCCTCTAATTTGTGCCGGCGGCGGCGAGGAGGGTGTTTTTTTTCTTTTCTTTTCTTTTGGTCGGTAACCATACGTATCTACGGAGCGTGCTTGGATTTCATTCCCTGATGCAAATGATGTTTTCGGTGTAATCATGCAAAAGCACAGCTGGCTTCCATTTCTCCACACCTCAAGCCTGTTGCTCCCCCGCACCCCCTCACTGCTGACTCTTAACCACCAGAACCTTCCTTGCGCCGGGCTCCTGTCTCCTCTTCCCGTCTGTTTGCCGTTGTTGTCTCCTGCAGCCCTTGTGTTTGCTCTCTGCTTCTTGTAGTTATCTTCTTTCCCTTTCCTGTGTCACTTGCCATACCAGCCCTCCCCTTTTCATCCCATCATCACACACACACACACACACACACACACACACACACACACACACACACACACTTCTCTCCACTGCCACCACCTCCAAGCAACCCTCTTCATATTGAATGGATCCACTAGCCTCGGTGCCTCCTGCGGTGAGCCTGGATTGAATTCAATTAGGGAGATTGTTTGCCCTGCAGAGTTTACTGGTGGGCTCCGTGGATGATAGGTTTGCCTGCCGACTTCCCCTTCTCCCCACGTCCTCCTCCTCCCTCACTCATACACACACACTCTTCCACACACAAAGACACACCACTACATCCATCTACCCTGTTTCCCCTTCATCTGACTCAGTGTAGACACCCTTCCTTTCCTCTTTCTCCTAACAACTTCCTTTTGGCAGTGCACTTGCCTTTCTATTTCCATTTCCTTCTTTTTTTTTTGGTGTGTACACTGTTTACGTTGCTTTTCAGGCCCTCGTTGATGTTTTTATGCTATTTTGTGACATCGCATTCAACATGATCAAGGCATAAAAATTGGCACAGTGGGGAAAATGTGTCATATCACCTCTTTGATAAGACCACAGGGACTCATATTCTTCATGTGGCTGTTTCGTGAGAGTTGCTGGGATGGGATTTTTCAGATGGGAACTGTTTTATTTGAGCTTAATCCCAGCAGCTACACACACACATTTCAAGATAATCCCCACCCCCATTTTTTGTTCCAGAATTAATTTTCCCATTTTCTAGCATATCCAGCATAAAGGGAAGGGCAGTAAATGTTGCTGACATAGGAGTAATGGCCACATTAGTTGCAAGGTGAAAATAGAATTGTGCTGTCATTTGAATAACATTGAGAGCAGCAGGCGGTACTTATGCATGCTGCTGGCTTGTAGTTTTAGATATGAAGTGAAAATCTGGTACAGACATAATGGCCCTGGTCTCTGTTCTGTGTAGAAACATATTTCAGGGACTTGTCCTGTAACCCGCTGCTTTCCTTCAGATGTCACGCTGTGTGACTGTGTACCAGTGCTCCTCAGAAATCAGATACTGTATTAGTGCTGAAAGATGTCAAATGAATTAAAAGCTAGGCATCGCTTTGATGATAAACGTCCTAATGCACTCTGACGTGGAATTACGACCTTCGTTTGATGTACCTTTTTTTGCCTGATTTGTGGTCACTGCCGATTATGTTTAATTCACTTGAAGGCAATGACTTTGTGGGGCTTTAAAGAAAACGTTTGATTTACAAACAAGTGTCATTTGGCAGAAGGATATTTTTCAAGCTAATACGCGAGAAGAATCCTAAAGTAGACCGATTATACTTCCTTTTTCTCTGATACTTGTGCTGTTACAAACCTGTAAATGGTAAATGGCCTGTATTTGTATAGCACTTTTCTAGTCCCTAAGGACCCCAAAGCACTTTACACACCCAGTCATCCACCCATTCACACACACATTCACACACTGGTGATGGCAAGCTACATTGTAGCCACAGCCACTGACCAAATTGCTCGGATGCTCTTGCTTTAGCCTGCGCTAAACACTCAGTTTCAGGTGCTGTTTTTCTACTCTTGTGTCTGATTGATGTCAGAGGCACAGGATTTCCTTATATGGTCATCTCAGGTTCATTGTTTGTTTATTCATGCCACTTCAGAGTACTCATTCGATAGCAAAGCTGGGCAGGTAATGCTAAAAGACACGGCTCTTCCATCTGTAAAGAGCAAGATCGAGGTATCAGAACGCAAAGTGTAACTACCGTTATATTGCCAAACTGTGTCCAATGTTTACAGTTTGTTTCCGGAGGTCCACAATGTCAAGACAAAGAGTTTCAATGCCCACGAGCACCAGGTTTTGTTTACCTGACAAGGAGCAGCCAATCAGCGAAAGGCTTTTAGGAAAGGGAGCCTTAAAGAGACGAGTGATGCAGTGTTGCAGACACAAGGCGACCTTTAAGGTGCTGCTTAAAGATTAGCAAGGATTTTATGTGGTTAATAGATACTCTGGGTGAAGTCCAAGAATAAAAGTTTAGAGCTGGAAATTAATATAATAGACCCCATTTTTATCTGAACATCTACAAAGCTGCAGAGCTTTTTAGCCTGTTAGAGAATTGAAGCTCCGTGTCTGTCTGCAGTGCTTTGCATAGCCAAAGTGGCTTCCTTTAGCGTCAACCATTCAGGTTACTTTAACCACAGTGGCCAGAGATGACTTTAGCCCCGCCAGGTTTTTGGTTCTGTTAGCTTAAAGCCCTGCCGTTTGTTTTCATAGCGTGATCCTGCCTGGACTTGTTGAAATGATGCAAAACAGGTCATTTGAATGGAAAAGGCAGTGAAATCCTTTCGGCCAATGTCAGCAGTGTTCTTGAATTTGAATCCTATCCAGAGGTAGTTGACTTTGCACGTCTTTGTTTTTCGTGTCCTGTTACTTGGGGCAACTATGGTCAGGCCAGAAGCAGGCTGCTCCGAGGATACCAGACAGCATCGAAACCCTCTAAATGACCAAATTATTTAAAAGGCACACATTGTTTTGTGTAGTGCACGGCTGATAATGATGACCCTCTGTGAAAAGTGTTGTTGTCAAGACAACCGCACCTTGCTGGGGGATAGATTTATTATGACGTGTTTGTGGTCATTTTCTCCCAGTGGGTAGTGGGGCGCGAGGGGGACCTGATGTGAAAGTGCTCCCGCAGCTTTATGAAAATGCTGCTTAGTCATTTCTTTATGTTGATTTGATGATTATTGATTTTAACCTCAAGCAAATTTGTGTCCAATAGCTAATATGCTATTAGAATCATCAAAGATGGCGTGTTTTCGAGGTGAACGTTTTTTGCAGACGGGACTCCAAAAAAAAAGTTTCCATTCTGCCGTTGAGGTCATACGTGATCATTTCTCTTTGAGAGCATGTGTTAACAGTCTCATACTCTAATTACTCTCACAGTCAGTAAGGGGCAGGCAGTTTTAAGCCATTTGTTTATAGCTGAGGGTAAACTTGCACAATAAAACTCCACACAAGGACACATCGAGCGGATGTGACCGTAATTATTTAGTGTTACGTCACCTGGAATGTGTCTGCGCGCTGTATGTGCGTGTACCTGTGCTTTATGTGGTGCTTGCTGTGACACTGCACTATATATAGCTCCAACGCCCATCTATTCCAATATAATATTCATGTCTTCAGTGGCAATTCGTCACTCTCTTGAACTGCATTATCATGGTAATGCCATCTATGATTTCTCCATGCATCTGTAACGCCTGCAAAATTTGGTATCAACGGTACAGAATAAATATAGCTCTCAAAGAAGAGTTTAAAACAAATCAATAGCTGCATTTAGTTTAAAAGTTTTAGGAAATATCGGGGACAATATTAGGTACACCTCGTTAGCACTGGGTTGGACACCCTGTTGTGCTGGAGACATTCCTTTGACATGATAACAAAACAGGTGCTGTATATTTGTTGCCAGCACACACATTGTACAAATCTTGCATTCCTCCACATCCCAAAGGTGCTCTATTGGATTTAGATCTGATGACTGTGGAGGTTATTTGAGTACAGTAAACTCATTGTCACATTCAAGAAACCGGTTTGAGATAAACTGAGCTTTGAGACA